TTTCAAAAGCAAAATTCACGACGCGCGCGCGTATAATATAAAGTACTATCGTTAATCATATTACATTATATCTATATGTGTATACTGGGTGATCAATTTAATGAAAGACATTCATTATTTCAAAAAACTATTAACGTATTTGAAAATATTCTTCGTTCGTAAATTTGTTAGTTGTTATGAAACAATATTGTTTTAAAACAATTATATTTTACTAATTTTTAGAAATTCGTAGTATTTACTCCGATATATAAAAATCGAATTTTACACAAATAGTTTCAGTTATAAGTATTTTCAGTTTGGTGAGTGGTGGAATGGATTCTCCTAAACTTCAAATAATAATATACCTAACCAAAAACTTTTCGCCTGAAATTTGATTTTTATACATAGAATTACTTCGAAAAATAATATCCTGCTTAGGAATATGAATTTTAAAATGTATTTTGTTATTCAAAAGTGCAAAAACTTAAAAATACGGTAACGATAAAAAATTTAAAAACTTAATTTTTACAGAAATTCTGTTTCGTAACGATAAGTATACATCGTTAAGAAATACTTTCAAAATAAATGGTGATTTCAGAAATAATGAGTGGCTTACGTCAAATGGATAATTTCGTATACTATAATATTATATTATACGTAAACATATACACGTGTAATAGGACCTATGGTCATACCTAATATAAACAATGGATATATTCGTGGCGTAACCATATAATCGATATAACACTTACAATAGGTATATTATTATAAACGTGGAAGGATAACAGAATTATCGTAGCCGATATTATGATAAAGTTTAACAGGAATATTATAATATTCCACAATGTTACGTGGCATCATCGGGTTCACGTTGATCGAAGTATTTATAAAGGGACGACACAGGGAGATTATAATATGTTAATATCTCCTTGTTACTTTCTTCAATATTTCGTCCCCTCGCAAACCGCTTTAAAAACGCTTTCTCCTCACCACATAATAAAATTAAATAGTATAATATTCTAATGGCGCTCGATTAGCTGTCTATAGTTCCTTTATTATAAGTATTATATTTTTTTATTATTCAATCTGATTTAAAAATTTTTTTTTTAATTAATTATTTCGTTTTATTTTAAATTGTATTATATAACTCACAGTGTAGATAGTATTAAAAATCGAGACTTTAAATGCGATACCTAATAGTATATGATAATAATAATATGATGTACGCTTGAATGCACGTGTAGGTATCACACCACGTGCCCATCGTTTTATTATTACAGTCGGCAGTTACATATACGAAGACATATAACATAGGTACACGCGTCTATATATATATCATAATATGCATATTGGCTTAGCAAGTTAATGTTCGGAAAATGCGTACGGACCACTAATTTTCGTTAACGCGCTCTGATGGAAATTAAAATAGGAAGGTGTATGACGACAAAACACATGCAATCGAATATAGCATGCGTGTGAATCAACTCGGCTATTAATGCATATTATACGAATACCCTGCCTGGTCGTTAACAGTCAGTAATTTAGTGTTTGTTATAAAACTGACAGAAATCACATAGTATTGAAATTTTAAATAGCATTCAAGCCTAATTGAATTTTGTTTTCACATAGTATGTACATATTTTTCATATTTTATTGATTATTCTGGCTTTTATATTTTTCTTTTTCTTTTACGACTTTTGTATAATACAATTTTATGCTCACCTTTATTTCTTATGGTTGGATTTTTTCTTTAGTTTAATTTTAAGTATTGTTGGAGCATGTAGAAACTCAAACGTTTTCATCACTTGATATTCAACCAAAATATTATTATTATTTATTCTTTTTTTTTTTGATTCCCTATAAATTTTTTCGATGTTTTGTATGATAATATATATTTTTTTATTTATTTACCCATGGCATCATAGGCCACTGGGCAGTTATTCTTAGTAGGTTTTTTTTTTAAACTGGTGCATGTACAGGCGAACAGACGACTTTTTTTTCTGGACTGCAAAAGCAGTACGTTCTTTATTTACATAGAGTTAGATAAGGATAAACATTCGATCACAGTTATCGCTGGATGGCAGACCCATATG